TGAAAATTCAAAAATGTTATTAGCTTTTATTAAAAAAAAAAATCATCAAATTGAGTGAAAAATGAAGGTTCCAGTGAATTGTGAACACTTAAGCCAGTTTTTAACCACTAGCTGTAGTGGTTAGCAGTGTGTAGTGTGTTAGCAGTGCAGGAGAAGCTCGGCCAAACACTAACATATGTATAAGGGCCAATCTATTATTATCTATTATTATTATTAACAAGCTTAGAAGTTTATAATTTATATTCGATAATTTTAGTGAACTCGAGGCCGTATTTAATAAAAATTATAGTGGAAAAACAACAACAAATAATAAAACACAAATAAAAATATTGAACTTACATTTAAATACAACGCATAACAACAAAAATCCAACTAACACTAGAAATTTTCATTTAAAAAATAAAAATTTGATTAAATTTCGGTAGTACTATCGATGGTATCCAATGCACGATTTTTTCAGATTTTTTTTTAATTTTTTCAGAGGTCGCTATTTTAATTATTTCGCAAACTAAGGCCTATTTTGTGAAATAAAAATTTAAATCTTTCTTCTGCATTCGTTGTTATTGTTACATGGTACTTTTCTGGCTTGTAAAGAGAACCAAGTAACTGAAATAATTTGATATTAGTGAAGATAATTAGTTCAAAGGGCGTTTTTATTACCCTGAGTACGAAAATTCCGTCTACTGTAGATTCAAAATTGTTTTATTTTTTAATTTTATGCTGCTATAAACACATATTTTTTCTGATACTCTGAACGGTAAATTAGTTTTTAAATTTTTTCCTTTTACCGATCTCTTTAGGCGATAGACCTTCCGTTCTCGACGGAGTATCAATTAAACTTTACTCCAAGTACACCGCTACACGCATGCTCCAGTTATTCCTTTATTTCAAATAGTAGAATGTCTTCTAACACAGCTTCCAAAGATAAGGTCATATACCTAAAGAGGCCTGCCTTGGAGAGTTGATTAATCTCTTATCTTCCTCATTTTGCTGACTGATTTGATGACAGAACTATAACGATTAAGTAATCGCTTTTATTTTATTACTTTCAGGTGAAAAGCCGCAACGAGCGCAACATATTGACATTCTACGAGAAGATTGCCGTCATACACTACTACGATGAGACAAGCGTTTCACGAAATCGCTTGGCAAAGCTGTTCCACTGTTGTGCCACACAAATTCGACGCATTCTCGAACACAAAAATGAACTGCTCCAGCAATTGGCCACACTCAGCGAGTCTGNAATTACAATACAAGCGCTTATGGAGCGAAAACCATACGTTGCCCTTTAAATTGGATAGTAATGATCGCCTTAAAATTTTGTATAACAATACACACTTGTATCATAAGTTCTAGAATTAATATACTTTTTTTAATAAGCAAAGTATGAATTTAATAGCATATCGAGATGAATAAGAAAATGTCCTTGGTTCATAAGAAAAGTAAAGTTTAAGGAAAGGAAGTAATAAATAAAATAGAATTTAAACTAAAATTACTGTGTAGTTTTGAGCTTTTGGCACCCGCTACATATACACGTATGCATATGTACTGGATGCATTTGCAGCTCCCTTCTTGAGTAGGTACACGTTTTTTCTCCTCGTACGAAGCTTTTGTAGTAAAGTGTAAGTTTCTGAGCAAGCTAATTGACTTCAAGCAGTTAAAGACAAATTGGTCTGCTTGTCAGCCACTTGCTATTAATCCTGGTAAGAAGAAGCTCGTCCTATTCACCATGAGGTACTATGTGCCTAATGCTTAGTTTCCCACAATCGGTGGATGTCGCTTTATTTAAGCTTTCGAACGAGTTGTGAGTTTGATACGATTCTTTTGAGTTCAAAGCGACCGTTTTTATGAATACAGATGACCGTCTTGTTACTCTCCACGCTATATACATATATGCACTCATAACACCGTACGTCAGTAAATTTTGCACACCAAAAAATCAATAGTGGAATTCAATTAAACTGAATGAACGTGTGATTTGTTGGTGCTGGCGGTACAATAAATACTCATGAAACAACAATCACATCCCAATTTGCCACAGGGCGAAGACGACGTCGTTACGACGTCGCTCTGGCGAAGTCGTTTTTTTGGTGAACTCGAAACGACGTCGTTACGACGTCGCTTTGGTGAAGCCGTTACGACGTCGCCCTGGTGAAGTCGTTTGGGTGAACTCGAAACGACGTCGCTCTGGTGAACTCGAACCGACGTCGTTACGACGTCGCCCTGGTGAAGTCGTTTGGGTGAACTCGAAACGAATCCGTTTCTTCGAACCTACAAGTTTTTTGAGGAACCTTCGGTCTAGGTTGGACAAGTTCCACGCCCAAATTTTAATATATCTAAGCATAAATAAAAGTCATTCATTTGGGTAGTAAACCGTTTTTATTGTGACAATTTTTTATCATGACAGAATATGGAATCCACAATGTACACTTGTGCTCAGAAAATTAAGCCACCTACATCTTTTTTCAGTATTCATAATATTTTTCATATAAAATGTTTTTTTTATAAAGGTAAAGTTCACTCTATTGGCCTTATTAATAAAAAAATAAAATTAGTGGGAATAAGGTTTTTTTTTAATTTGGTAGAAAACTGTACTTTTACTTTACAGCGTGGCGACGAACAACTGTTACCCAGGTTTTTTTGAGAAATAAAAGGGTCCTTATGTGTTAACTTACAAAAAATGATTGCGAGCATGTCCATTAGCGAAATTTAATATTTTTATGGTGGATTCTAGTGCTTCAAACTATACTCTAATATATATCAAAACAATGCATTACAATTTTGCCAAATTTTTTTATTATTGAATCAATTTTGAAATGGGATATGAAGAGGGAAGCGAGACGTATTTGCTGCAATAAGAAAAGAGAGGCCGAAATACGTGAGTGGCGACGGCGAGTACCGCAGACGATGGAACGATGAGCTTTACAACGACATGGACATAATGCAGCGAATTAAAATGCAGCGGCTCCGCTGGCTTGGCCATGTCGTTCGAATGGACACCGACGCTCCGGCTCTGAAAAAATTCAATTCGGAATCCACTGGTGGCAGCAGAGAAAGAGGAAGGCCCCCACTGCGATGGAAAGATCAGGTGGAGAAGGACTTGGCTTCACTTGGCGTTTCCAATTGGCGTCAGTTGGCACAGAGGAGAAACGACTGGCGTGCTTTGCTGAACTCGGCCAAAATCGCTTAGCCGGTTACAGCGCAAAAAAAAAAGAAGAAGAAGAAGAGGAATCAATTTTGCACCTAAGTGTACATACATATACTACGTAAAAAGGGGAACTTTTCAAACAAAAGATTTAAGATACAAACTTTTTTCGTAATTGAAACAGGATCATGAGGAACAATTGGAAAAGTTACGAAAATTTAATATAAGTATGTATGCAGAGAGTCATTATCATAGCCAATGGATCTACGTGATACAATACTACGAAATTAATTGACATAAATTTAGTATCATTAACAACTTTAGCAACCGCAACTCCTATGTACACATGTATGTATGTATTCTCCCTGTTCTCCATTAAAATCTCGTCTCGGCATTTTAAATTACATATGTGTTTATAGCTAAAGTATTTTTAACGGAAAATTGGACGCAGTGGTCATTATAGTTAATACGGAATGATACATCTCTTATTAGTGTAGTAAAATTATGACACTTGATTTGCGAAGCTCAGGGATTGGGGATCGCTACTATCTTGAAAACAACTTATGGGTACAGCCATTTTAAAGCCCATTTCCAACAAAAGCTTAACTGCATTTAGAGCTGAGGTAAGTTCCAAGAACTTAAACATGGGGTTATCGGGAAGGTTTATTATTCATTGTTTGCCTTTTTAATTTCGTTTTCTTGTACTTAATACAAGCAATTATCCCTTCGAATTATTATCTCCCTTTTCCAATTGTCATAAACTTCAGTTACAGCTTGGTGGAAATGAACTTTAAGGGTCTCAAACAAGCTACATATATAAACCCAAGAGTATTAATAAGTGATAGTCAAATTCCAAAAGTGAAATACTTATTTGACTTGTAAGCGCAGACACGTATGAGTATAAAAAAACACGCCTAATAACAGATTGGCGCTTACACACACGTTAGTGTTTGGCCGAGCTCTCCTCCGATTTGTGGCGTACGCGTTGATGTTTTTCACACAAAGTGGAGTGGCCTACAGTTTTACGCCGACTCCGAATGGCGATTGTATTTGTATTAGAAGCTGGTTTTCATGGCAGCAATACACTCGGAGGTTTGCCATTGCCTGCCGAGGGACGACCGCTGTTAAGAAAAAACCTTTTTTCTATACTTTTTTTGCGATGTTGCTCGAATCGTAACATCCGTTCACTGATCGAAAACGATACCAAAGAAAATTACGTGATAGGTCAGGCAGTATAAGCTGAATGGGACACAGAGTACGTTCACGTATGCCATAATCGAAAAATGTGTTTTTACGTGACGAGTAGTACGATATCGTATGTGACGATTCGAGCCCAGGCTTTGAACCCAGGCGTTGCGGAGTGGAAGCACGCACTGCTTACCACTACACCACAGCGGCCGCACGACTAATACGGCTATATAAAGTGAATTTGAGCACAACTTTTAGCTCCGTCTAAATTGGAAAGGACTGTCCCGCACCGTTCGCGACCAAGCGATGTTTGAGTCAAGGAGGCTGAAATTCGTGGGACTTTTTAAATATTTCTTTGGAAAATGTAATACGAGCTACTATTCCGAATTTCAAAAGAACGTTTGTGGATATCGTTGACATCGTCGACTTCAACACCAGCATGCCAGCGCAGCATTCGCTAGCTTAGAGAAGGAAGTAAAACAGATTGGTCTAGCAGGGAGCGAGGAGGATAAGACGTTTTTAAACCGAATTTGGAGATAGGGCGTTCTTCAATCAAATTCTGAAGTAGGGCGTTCTTGAACTGGCTGCTAATATATGTAGGTCGATCTTCCACTCAGGTGACGATATATACATATGTATGAATATGAAATTAAAATTTTAAACTTACCAGCTTCGCTGATGGCTCATAAATAATATCCAGACTACAGGACGGACTTGCAAGTTTTGGCATCACCGATTTCTTCTCATCCTCTTCGCCTTCTTCCTCTTCAGATTGACCTCCACTCTCTTCCCCCACACTCGGTACCGGACTAACCAGCTCAATGCGACTTGGCACCTTCAACGGCACTTCCGATCCATCATGTACGCGTCGCGTCAAATCGTAAGCGACTCGGAGAAATCGTTCGCGCATTATCGAATGCTCTCTTAGTTCACTTGGCGTGCGCTGCGGATGGGTGCACATGAGGTAATCATCCGCTTTGGCGCATTTCTTCTTAATTTTACGTTGAAAGCGTGACTCCTTCACTTTTTGGTTCAGCCGTCGAAGTTCGTCCTCAATGGTCATTACTTTAGAAATGGTGGAGTTATCTGGTCGATCACATTTGCGCACCTTTTCACAAACCTCTACCTTCCAATCATTTGCGTTCGGACTGTCCCCTATATAGGTGCGTACTTCATAAGGATTCTTTGAAGGACTAATGTCCGATTGTAAAGTTACGAATTTTTTCAACATTTTGCTAATACGAGATCGCGGTGGTACCGTTTGTTTTGGAATGTTTTATTGGAAAAAATACAATTAATCCCAAAGCGTAGTATAGCATAGAGTCGAAAATAAAAAATACACATATATTAAATTTAGCAATAACGGAAAAAATTGTATATCCTCGACGCTGAGAAAAATAACAAAGTTCTAAAATTGACTTTTTTTATATTTTTTGTTGATTTTAAATTTTCTCTTTTACGAAATAAATTTAGCACTGAATTCAAATTTCAAATTATTTTTAATTGAAACTTAAATGCATACCTGCTGCATGTTATTCCAAAAAATTTGTAATACATTATTCTAAAGCTTTAAAGTGGTAATTAAATAAGTTTAAGAAGCACTTTTTCTAGTCCACACGTAATATATACCAAGCTGTAGATACGTCTTTCTCTCGAACGTAAAATTTGCGAGTAACCTGTTCAAAAGGCGTATCTGCGCAGATACAGAAGTTTAGCGAGGCAGATGCGCTGTAAACCGTATTTCCTTAGTGAAGAACGTGGGTATCTACGAATTTGTACTTTTTGTCATCGAATGTATTAAAAATTATATAATACTGCGAGGAATATCATATCAAAAATTATTACAATCCTGACAAAGAACGGGGAATGTACATACGTTTTCAAAAAAACGATCGAATGCCTCAAATGGTCAAGAATAGTATTCAAAAACAACATATGTATGTACGTATGTACCTTCATACAAATATATATTTTTTTTTACAGGTTGCAAGGTAAAATTCCTGCTGAATTACTGAAAAAAGTGTAGTATTTTTATAGACATGTACTCACTTTTTTATCAGCATTGCTTCATATGTATGTTTATGTTGGGGAAAACAAATAGTATAGCAACAAAATAATGAAGTATGTATTTATACATATAAACATGCGCACATCAACAGCAACATAAATTTTACCATTTAGACACCATCCACCGTTATCCATTTTCTTGGCTGATGTTTGAACTGTAAGCAGAGATCGTTTTTTTTTTCAAACGTATTGGACAATATTAACATTCTTTTGTAAATTTCGATATCAAATGAAACGTAAACAAGTAAGAAAGTCTAAGTTCGGGCGGAGCCGAACATTAAATACCCGGCGCAAGTATTAAATATATGTTTTCCACCTTTCCGAAAGCTACCACTATATGATAAGCCGGGGTGTATACATTTTAAGTAAATTAGCGTCCTTAAATTTCGAAATATTGAAATTTCAAGCATATCTGAAATTTACCGTTATATGAAAAGCGGCCTCAATTTTAGTCCGATTTCAACAATTTTCATTGAGGAAAGAAAATTGAAAATTACAGTTCACTGATAATATCAACACTAGGTTCTTTCCCTAACAATCCGGACCGGATTTGGTAATTAGAGAATAAGAGAAACATTTTCTTTCAAAAATGGAACAAAGTCCAGAAGTACGGGAACGCAAAAACCACATTTCGTGCCCACAAGTCGAGAAACAGCTGATTCACGTTTTTTCTTGTTTTTGTCACTTATACCATGTTCTGACCGACATCAGAAACATGTTTTCGTTGCTAAAACTGGTTTTCGACCTAAAACTTGTGTTTTCGTTCATGTAAAATCTGTCAAACGAAAACCAGTTTTCGCTGAAAACTACACAGATACACAGCAACCACGTCATCACCAGATTCACTTAAATGTTTCCTTTTTGCTGTAAAACTAAAGGTGTATGAAAACTAAAATATAATTGTTATTTTCGTCATATATTTACTACATAATTATGAAACCCCTTCATTTCTGTGTCCTTTACAACTATACACGTGAAAATGAAAATCAAAATGACTTCTTCCAAATAACCGATGCCAGATCCGAGATTTAATTTATTAGTCACCATATTTCACGTCTTTTTGCAGTTCCTCTATCTATACTTATTTACAAATAAAACAAAATTTGGTTAAATAAATCATTTATTTTAAAGAAATTTTGATTTATTACACAGCCACACAAAAAAAAATTTGTGTTCTGACCCAAAGGTCTCACTATGTGTACTGTATGTTTTTGGGGTCGCTGAATCCGAATCCGAGGTCCATTTAACCCCATCAGTTCAGGGTTTTGATATAACGCCAGAAAACCAATATGGCGGACACCTTTTGGAAAAATTCATCGGATTCGCTTGAAACTCGTTACTCGGGGGTTTTCGGGGTCGCTAATTACGAATATGATATTATTTTTTCAAAATTCAAAATGGCGGATCCAATATGGCGGACACTTTTTGTAAAATTCG